GTATCAGAAACAATATTCAAAACACCCGTTCAGTTTGGTTTAAACAGGAAGGTTTTCTGTACTAGCCATCCCTAATTTAGCAGTTTAAGACTACAGGGAAGGCAGCTAGTCATCACCACCCAATGCCAACTCTTGGGCTACTTGTTAACAAATGAATAGTGTGATTGACCATCACACTATAATGCCCCATGGCTGAGAGGGTGAGCATGTTTGGTGGGAGGGGGATTTGACCCTCAGATTGTGAGTCGAGTGTCCTAACCACTTGGCCCATCCATTGAGAACGTCCAACACTGGTGCTTGGTTGACCCTAGTCCAAATAGACCAGCCAATTAACCCTGGGTGAGCTGCCCCAAGACCGCCATTCTACAGAAATTCAAGGACAAAATGGTGTGTTAAAGTGCTATTCACATAAACTGACCCATCAGCAACACCCCTAAACCACCAGCATTATCTCCCTTTCCCAGGTCGCCACGCACAGCACACACATGGGTGGATGTTTAGATTCCAGAGGAAGTGAACTGAAAATACAGAACATTCCCTGGGAGGTTCCCTCACCACATACAGGAATCCATCTTGAGGGGGAAAGTATGGGGAGTGGATTATCTCTCCAAGGGTTGGTGAAAACAAGAAGCCAAGGACATGGTGAGAAAACAGATCTGGTGATATGATATGTAGATATGTGTAACCACAAAAAAGAGCCATGCAAGCCACAGAGCAATGTGGAGTCTCTACCAGACACAGGAGTGAAGGCATCATTACCCTGACGGGCTGTGAAGATCTTAGGTAGGTAGGTATGATCCAGATAAAGGATAACATTGGTATAAGGTAAAGGGTGCATGAGACATCGATGGCAAACATGCCGAAACATTGATAGTCACATGCCAAATGAGGAGGAGAGGTGGTACAATGAACAAGAAGACAGAGGTTCAAAATGAGGGCGAATAAAAGCATGCAAAATGACACTTAGGTCCCAATCCAGCAAGAGTGTTGGGCAGGGAGGACAATGGATACAGAATAAACAGAACAGTAGAGTAAGAATGGGCAAGGAAAAATATGATAGAAATTAGAAAAATGAAAGGTACAGGACAAGGCCACTCGGCAGCCAACAACAGTTAAAACTGACAGACCATGGTCAAAGAGCTAGGTAAAGAATTGGAAAATATGATAGACCAAAGGGTGTGAAGGAAGGAATCAATGATGGAGTGAGTAATGCCAAAAAATGCCACTACCATTGATAAACATGGTTGAGGGGCAGACAAAAGCCATAGATGAAGTTGGAGTATGGGAATGGCAGGATAGAAGACATTCAACTGAGGTTGACAGAGGAGACTTGGGGAGAGGGGAAAAAGGCAGTGGAGGTACCAATTGCAGGGGGATTAAGTAGTGGGAATGAAGGATAAGCAGACCAATATGAAGCCACTAGAAGGACTCAACACAGAGTGGTTTAGATAATGGACAGTACTCTGAGAAGGAGTCAGATTGGTGGGAAGGTATAAATGTAAAGATCCTTTCAATCCTGACTGAGTGCATCAATCACCAGTGCCAAAGGATGAGGGAAAGGGGACTAATACAAAGGATGTTTGATATTCAGGTGTGTGGCAAATGAATCAAGTCTGGGAGTACCCAACTGAGAGCACAGCTATTAGAATACTTGAGATTCGAAGAACCACTCTGTGGGAAGAATATTGTTGAGGCAAAACAAATGATCTGTGACAAGATTGAGATCTCCCGGGATATGAGAAGCCAACAAATGAAGGTGATGATTATGGACCCACAAAAGCAGGCCTAATATATGAAAACAAAAAAACCAGCTGTTCAGTAGTAAGAATGGATCATGACTAGTTTGTCCCTCAAGAGTGGGATATGGGAAAATCCAGAGGATCTGTGTTGAGATTCCATTGATCTTGAATGACCCAATGTAACACCTCATATGAGCCCAACCAAGGGGAATAAGGGCTTCCATAGAAGCCCAAGTTCCTAAAACAGATAGAAGAGTAAAAGAGGATTGGGCCTTGTGAACCAACAACTCCAAAGCATGAAGTCAAAGTGAAAAAGGCTGGGACCAATTGTGATGGGGGTTCAATAAAACCCCCAGGTGGACCAGATAATGAGTCAAAGTGAGAACAGACTTTTCCATTTTGACCAGTCAACCCACCCGTGCAGCATTTTAGAGAAGAAACTGCATAAGGATTGAGGAGGCTGAATACGAAGAAGTGAGAAGAAGCCAGTCATCTATGTGCCCCAGTGAAAGTAGAAGTCAGGCAAAGGCTTTGACATCCAACAAGAAATGTAAGGAGCTGAAGCTGGCCCAAACAGGAAATCCTGGATCTGGTAGACGTAACCCTAGTGAACAAACCAAAGATAACAATAAGATGCTGGGAAAATAGGGATCTGAAGGTAAGCATCAGATGCATCTATCTTGGTCATCCAAACACCTGAAGTAAAAGCCCAACAGAGAGACAGGAATAGGAGGTAAAAGAACAAGGGAAAGAGGAGGAGATGAAACGAATAGAGAGACTCTCTGACAAGACCTGTAAAGCCCAGGAACCCTGATGTTTGATGAAGGAATTTATTAAATAGGGAATGAAGCAGGTCATAGGACAGAATGATAATAATTAAACATGACATACCCATGTCACCAAGCCCATAAAAGGAAAAGAAGATCAAGACTCATCCATGGTTGCTGTTTGAGACTGCACAGCAAATGGGGAAGGAAAAATGCTGTACAAATATTCATCATCCTCTTTCATCTCCCCTGTGCAAGGGAGAAGTGGCTGGGGTTCAGGAGAACCATAAGCCCACATGAAAGCAGTTATCTCCTGATGAACTAGGGCCGAGACATCCTCTACCAATAATGCTGAACTTGAAGCCTGAGTAACAGATTGCGAAGTGTCATGTTGAATTTCCGAAGCCAAAGTAGTCATAACTTAGAACTGTGAATTCATTTTCGAAGTTTAAACACGAGTAGAATTAACACACAAAATTCAAGAAAGCAATTAAAACCACTGTTTGAATGTATGCAGAGAACAAACGAAATTAATTTACAAAAAAGTTATTAACAAAAAACTGTGAGTGCCAAATCGAGAAGTGAAGATTGGGTTATACTGCATAGAGAGAGTCAGCTGTGCCAGGAGGGTGTGTCACACTTTTGGTGGGGGGTTGTTGCATGCTAAAGCACAGCTGGAACATGTGAAAACATGTGGAGGTAGGTGGAAGTATCAAGGTTAGTGGCAGGTGAAATTTTTATATATATATAGAGGGCAGTAATAATCTAGGTAAGGTTGTATCAGAAAGAAAAATCCAATGATGTAAATATTTAATAGCTATGCTTTACATCTGTTCCATTTCTCTTTTTGAGGTGTTTATTTTTATGAATGAAAATTAAGAAGTGGCCAAAATTACATCTCCTGGGTGGAAAGGGTTAACTCTGCTTAAAGTACCTAGCATTTGTGGTAGCATAAATGGCAGCTTTGTTTCCTATTTTATTGTTAGCAGCCTATACAAATCTAAACATTATACAGGCACAGTGGATAGGGAATTCTTCAGTTTTCTTTCTCATAAAAACAGCCTTTGATTTCAAGGTGTATGTAGCTGGAATCTGTCAACCTTTGGGGGATGTGAGAATCAGTAAACTTTAAATCTTATTATTTTTCTAACAGGAACAGGAGACATGCCTGGCTTCACTACATTAGGTTATGTTATTTAACCACTTTCTTCACTTTGGAAATTATAACACTGCTCAGGTTTGGATTTTGGAACCTGTTACTGTCCAAAATATGGTTACATTACAATGTGGTGAATGTAAATTAAACACTGGTGCTAGGGTTGCAGGTTCTAGGATGTGTTTCTGCATTACTATATTCAAATTTCATAAAGTATTTTAATCCTCTTTATTACTAATAGAACATTATTTTAAAATGTGACACAAACATAAATATAAAAGAAGTGTAAGTCGTAAGTTCAATCATTAAACAGCAGCAACGAAGAATATTATATGTAATACTGTTAGCCCAAATGGTGTGATCACCAAACCAAATATGCAGTGGATGAATTAGATGATCTGATATTACATCTTGAATATATTGTTTATTATTATTAAGTACATTATGCTGACTTATTTCATTGGCAATAATTTTTGAAATAGAGTATTCATTGATAGTCTTTCCACTTGATAAAAATATTTTCTTTTCTTAAATGTTGACAAGTTTTATTGAAACCAGAACAGCAAAACATTTAAAATTCAGTATCAAAAGTATTTCTTTATTAAACATAATAATTATAAAAACAATGTGATATTTTCACTTGTAACTTTGATCCTTTAATGTTTATTCATACTAACTTATTTCAATGTAGTAATACCACTAATGACAAAATAATAAATGAGACAACCAATTTTAACACAAATTTCAGAGCTCAACCCTACAGAACCATATTAACAAAAACTATAATACAAATTTAATGTGAAAAAAAAAATGGTAGAAATAATGTACCAAAATGCTTCACATTATTGATCACTACTAGATAACTGAAATGTAATGTAAAGTACAGCATACCATGGTATATGAATATGACACATGAATTATATTTTGCAGTCAGAAATGCAGCGGTTTTGCCAAATATAGGGGATTTATTGCCTTTTAAATACTATAAGCAACGAAGAGTGGAAAAGCTAAGTGTAGTGTTCAGACTATAAACTGATCTTAGTACAGAAAAATTTAAACCAGAAACTAATAACAAAATAACATACATTGAACAACAATATTTCTGGACATAGTGAATGAATACAAAATGGTAAAACAATAAACAAGAGGGGGTGGGGAATGGTTTTATCTACAAATAAAGTCTTCTGTACTGTATTTCGGTACATAAGTTTTGTTTGTTAGTCACATCTGACAGGTCAACACAAATGCAAAAATATTCAGTCACAGACAGAGTTTAATTTTTGAACAATGATTACTGTTATTTTGTGTCCAGCACACACACACACACACATTACTTACATGTTGACTTGAATCCTTGTATACGGCAATCAGGGTCCAAACACTTCTGGTAGTAAATACATCGACGTAGGTCTACTATAATCCTATTAAAAATATATAAATGCTGGGGTTTGTTCCAAATGTGGATCTTATGGGAGAATATTTGGAAACAGTTTAACTTAATACTCCTCATTAGCTATATATTTATACACTGCAAAAACAAGTTTCAAGTTAGAAAATAAAACATGTTTAAGAATTTGAATATTTGTTTTTTATTGCTTAATCTAAATTATACTTAATTACATCACAAAAACAATAGAAAATAATTTATGTCAAAGCAATGAGCATATGTAGCTTTTATACTTTCTCTGCAGAATGTACAAAAGGCATGCTTCCTAGATTTTCATGAATTTAGTCACATAATTGACCACTTCTGAACAGTAGATAATAATAGATCTTTAATTTCAGAACGAATATAAATAAAATGAAATATATTAACAAACATTTTCTACATGTTGTATAATCTTAAGTTTTATTCTGTGCAAGCTTTTGACTCCAGATTAGATTAGGTAAAACAAACAATAATAATATAATAAAAATATTTCACAAGGCATGCATGCGAGCAGCTTGGAGTAGCTCATGGGTAATGTAATTTGATAGTGTAATGTGAGCTGCATGTTCTCCTAGTGATTTACAGCTTATAATGGTGCAAATAGTAATTAAAACAGTTCAAAGGGCAATAAAACAATAAAATTTAATTATAAGTAGATGTATACTGTTATGAGTTTAAAGCTATTTGGGATAAACTAATGTATGATAGTTTCACAGTACATTTGAAGTCATTCTAGAAAGAAAATGAGGGTAATTTAGAATTAGATTTTTTGGAGGGTTACGAGGTCAGTCATATTGAACAACCTTGTATAGAGTTAGGGTAGAGAAAATAACAGATAAAATATAAAGTTTGGCAGAAAAAAACATTTGACACATATTTAGGAGATTTTGGAGATTACACAAAAGAAATTTGAGATTTCTGAAATGAAAAAAAGTATTTTTAATCTTAATATGAAAATTATTTGCACACTGACTATTCAAAACAAATACCTAATACATTCAAGGACAAACCTTTTTTTAGTTTATTAAAAATACTTCACTAAAAAATATGATTTTTTTAAAGGCTTATAATGTTTATAAAGGCCAAATTTCGTGAAGATATACACGCTATATCAAAAATTAGTAGCATATCAAATCTATAGATCTTATACGAGTACAAAAAGGTCACATGGTCCATCAAACTGATCGAGCCTGTGTGGAGAGTTAAAATGTGCTGAAGCATTTATAATTATTTCTAAAAAACAACAAAAAACACATCACAATGAAATCTTTTAAAATTTTCAAAGCTGCGAGTTCATACAAATAAGATATTTTATTGTACAAAAGCTATGTAATCTGTATAAAGTTTTTCTAAAAAAGGTTTGAAATTACTTCATACGGCATTTTTTTTTTTTTTATTGAAGTGTAATAAAACAAACCATACCGTGGATGCATCAAATTAACACAGCCAGAGATTTTAGAGTTAAGCTAGTAACTCTGGTGGCAGATCTGTAGCATTTTGTAAAGGACTTTGGATTGAACTTTAAAAGAAGAGTGAATGAAGGAAATGATATGGATGTCACTGTTTAAAGTGACTCCTGTTACTGGTCTCTGTCAGAATGTTGTATGGGTCATACTAAATTATTAATTATAGGAAGAAATACAGTCCTTTTTCTGGTGAAAATCTTCAAATAAAAATGCTGGAAGATTAGTTCAGATGTTACATAATTGTTAAAAATTGGTTCTAGACATATTCATGTTTGGGTAACTTCTAACTGCTAACTTCTAAGCTGATGTCTCTATAAATAATGTTTCCTGACACTGATGTACACTATCCTACCAAAATTCATGGAACACAGTTAGTTATGGATAAAATATATCTATTCCAAGAAATTGGTAGTGTTGGCCTGCCTTTGGCCTTAATGACTGCTTCAATGTGTCGTAGAAGACTGTCTACTAATGTTTGGTAGAAAGCTAGCGGTATTGTGCTCCACTCCTCCTTTAAAGCATTAGCAAGCTCTCCTACTGAAAAGGGCCATCTTGACCTTGCCCTAATTCTGTGTTCCAGTTCATCCCAAAGATGTTCTATCAAGTTGAAATTGGGGCTCTGTACTGGTCACTGCAAAGCTCCAATGTTATTCTCTTCAAACCATGCATTCACAATCCTTGCTTTGTGACATGGAAAGTGTAAGAGCTGGTACTATAAAACTGCCACATACAGTATTGTTCAGAACATCAACGTAGGACTCAGCATTCATGGATCTATGCACTTTGACCAGTAGACCTACTTTATACCACGAGAAGTACCCCCAGACCATGATACCACCACCTCCAAACTTCACTGTTGGGACAACACTCAGGTAATAAGTGTTCTCCAGGCATCCTACATACCTAAACACATCCATCTGACTGGAAGAGCATATAGAGTGACTCGTTGCTCCACAGGACCAATTTCCATTGATCCACGGTCCAGGTTCGGTGTGCCTTACCTCATGTCAATTGACAGTGTGAATTTGTTTTTGTTATCAATGGCTTGAAGGCAGCAGCTCTTCTGTGATAATTCATGGCATGCAGCTCTTGATGTGTCATGGAAACACTTATAAGATTGCCTGTGACTGCTCGTATCTCCAAACGCAAATTCTCTAGGTGTGATGAGGTAACCAGCCTTCTCACGGCATGTCGGCTCCTGTCAATCAGAATTTTACATCTATCTGGCCATTTCTTGGGGTCATTGTCACCTGTGGACTTCCATTTCTTCAGCAAGTTGCCAACTGTCAACCTGGGAATGTTTAATAATTTTCCCCAAACAAAATCCAACTATCCTTCCCCTCTGAAATTCTGTTAGCTCCTTCTGTGTATTCATCATTTGGCATACAAGTTCGAAATGATTTCTGAGTGAACTGCTGATCGCCTTATCGGCCAAATTATTTGCATATTTCATCATCACACCCACTTTCCTGCAATCAGAGGCGTGTCCTATGACTTATGGTAGGATAGTGTAAAATACCTCCATAATCTTTAGGTTTCTCCATAATTCATTAATATCTAGTAAGTGGAACAAGCTGAAATTGATTAAATGTCTTGTTTCAAAGACAAGATTAGTAATGGCCAAGTTTTTATATTTACAAGTATGAACACTCAGTCTTGTAAGTGGTAATCTTGATTTTGTCTGTAGGTAATTTATGTTAGTGTGAACTAGCATCAACCTCAAGGTCCTGGAATACTTCCATAAGATTTCCAGATTAAATGTTTTCCCTGAGATTAAGGCAGCAGACAGTGCTCAACATTATTACTAGGCTTTAGCAAGTAAAAAATGCATTTGGACTGGTTGCCATGTGGTACATTAAAACATTTGGCTAGTGACTTAATATTGAGTATTTGTCCTATTTTTGACTTTTTGATATAGTTCTATATTTCATTTGTTGTTCTTATATGGCAAAATGGTTAAAACTCAGCATGCTCAAACCTTGTATATCCCAAAAGCTGAAAAAGAAGTAATCTAACAGTCAATTAGAAAATTATTTTTCTTTGCTAAAATTGTTATTTCTTAGATTCTACAGTCACAATATCTTATTACCAGTCCAGAGTGTCTCTGGAATAAACAGTATTAACTAGATTAGATGTTGTTTAATAATTATTTACAATATTTAGAAATGGAACATATTAATGGTTTTATAGGTGTATTTGTGGTTGACAATAGTAAAATTTTTTGTGTGACTAGTAATAGCCTAGTGACCTATTCAGTTACTAGCTAAAATAGGCTAATGACTTAAAAAAAATTTAAGGTCCTGATAAGTATGGTAAATAGTAGTAACTGGAAGGTCATTGTTGGTATACATGAGTCATCAAGTATTTGATGGTACTTGAGGAAGGTTTGCTGCATTATTCTCTAGACTGTCAGTGCAGAAAGGTATGAAATAGAACTAGTCAAACTATATCACATGCCTCTAGTCATTCAGTGTCCACAGTTTGCACTCTTCAAAAGCAGTGAAGTATTGCTGCTTTTCTATTTAGATATAAAATAAGCTGTTTGTGGACTTGTAGTCAATTATCATATGAGTTTTTGTATTAAAAGTCCATTGCAGAGTATACTTGAAAACAGCCTAATTCTGACAAATTTTTAAAAATCACTCAAATGGGACACAGACTGATGTCTGTTGCCCTTTACAAGATCATTAAATTACATTATAGCTTGGTGGCCAGTTACTTCTAAAGCAGATGAATTCCTTTTTGATTGCCACTTTTGATAGACCCCAGAAAATAATAGAGAAACATCCACTACCCCATTTTACATGTTAGAGTAATGAAGGGCTTAGTCCAGGATATTACAAAATCTCAAGTAGTCAAATGAAACATATGCACATGCAAATAAATGATAAATTTTCCAAATGAGTGTGTGTTTGGAGGACTAGCAGAAGTGGCCACTTTAGTGTGTATCTCCAGGACCTTATAAATTTATCAGTAAATAAATTAAACATTACTTTCTTAACAATTAATTATTTATTGTCAGTTAGTAAACATAAAAATACCATTGACCATAATTCAATTCTTTATTTGAGCTTCTAAGTAATTATTTTATTTCACAATCCAGCATGTGTTCCAAAGGTTTTTCTGAGACCATTATAAAGATTGTAATAAGTGTGTTTGTGTGTTAACCAACATAATCACTAATAATAAGCAGAGAGTGAGTCAATTATCCATCTAAAATGATTATAAGATAAATAGAACATAAACATTAGTACTTTAAAAAAACTTCAAGGAGGGAATTTAGTGGGTGATTCTACACTAATGGTTTGTAGCACTTTTAAAGGTTAAAATCAATATTTTTTGCCAGTGCACAATACATGTTATTAAATTTCATTTTCCAGCAAAAAATTCACAAGAGAATAAAGTCTACAAAGGCATTTTATATACATCACAAATAAATAGAGTCAAAGACAAGAACAAATATTAAACTAAAACAAGTACTGACTATAAGGAGAGAAAAAAACATTACATGAATTATAACACATACCAACTAATCTACTCAAGTCAGACAGATCACAAAAATGTTGAATCTGACCACATTTTGAAGAACAATGCCAAATTAACTGTATTTTTTGTTTCAATTTAACTGTTAAAAATTAATTGTTTTCTAAAATGAACCAATTTTATATGAGCTTCTTCACCAATTCAACCAAGATCCTTTCCACACTCAGAAAAAAAAATCATTTAAATTTTGTATCCCTTATTTAAACACCTAAATGATACAGAAATACTTTAAAAACTCACAAATTATATTTTATTATTTTTGTTTTCCCAGTTTTATAGCACTGAAATTAAATTCAGGGGCCTTTCCAGGTCCAGGAGAGCAGAATTATATATTCCCTTACTTTTCTCACTCATGGGAATCATGTATATAAAAAGGAGAAAAATCATTTACATTTTGCATCCCTTATTAGAATAACTACAGGACACAAACAATATAAAAACTCACATGATATTGTTGCTTTTGTGGTGACGACCAATATTCTCACAAAACCTGTAGTTAGCTATGTCATACACAAGCAATTCATCATCAGAATAGTAAGTCCAACGTCTGATATACCCTGTCTTCTCTGATGATGCAACTAGTGAATGAACAAACTTGTCCACTTCAAAGTATGGTGACTGTTGACATCCTTGGAGAAATACTGAAAAATAGCTTCACTCTATGATTTACATAACTATATTGCTAAGAAGGTATTAAATTTATTAAAAGTAACAATGTTTTGGTTTATTGTACCAGGATAAGGTATTACAGTTTAGGATTATAATGGCACTGTTAAAAGTATGCATTGTGCTAAGTATTTAAAAAAAAAAAAGAGTATAAAAAGAAATTTGAAAAAATATTTTGAAAGGATATAAATATAAGGTATATAGAAAGGCTGAATATGTTATATTAAAACAAATTTGGAGCTTTGCCATGTCATTACAGTCCATTTCACCAACTCTGGTCATGCTGTACATGATGACTATGCAAATTTCCAATAGCCTTGTAGTGTATTTTCCATTGCAAAAACACTCTGCCCTAAAGCTGTCAGTCCAAAGCACACTCCTTCTCTCTGCTGATTTCCATAAGCCATCTAGTGTATGAGGACAATGGTTTTCCATCACTCATTTCAACAGCCAAATCACATGGATATTCACAGGTACTGCATCCAGTGTCTTGACTAGTATGTCCTTGTACAAAATAGCATGAATGCCCATTTCATTCTACTGGTGTTTGATGTATGCAATGGTTGAATAAATATGTCATGGAAGCAACTTGTTTACATAAATTTGTGCCACATTTACAGATGGAGATATTTCTTGATTATGTTGTACACTTTTGCCTGGGAGCCATGGAAGGCTTTTGACATTGAACTTTGAAATCATTGATTCTCAGCTGGAATATGACTTGTTGAAGCTATCTTTCTGGATGGCCCTTGTTCCAAAAGTTGATCCATATTCCTTTGCTTTCCAATGCCATTAAATACAAGGGATTTTGAATTGTTCAATCCCCAATCAGAATACATTTTCTATTATCTGAATGTATGAAATATTTTAGATCAGAAATGACTGTACATACCCTTTCCAAATGCAATAAATTTTTGGTGGCATTACACTGCTTACAAAATACCACAACGTAGTTCTGATTCAGGCAATTCCATCAAGACTTTATATCAGCTATGGCTATCACACAACTTACTGATTTGCATATTCAAAATCAACTTATTCATATGTTAAGATATATGTTTCCAAAGCTGTGTAGTTTTTTATTCTTTACAGTGAAAAAGGGTCATAACTTTACAGATACCATGGAAAGTTTAACAAATTAGAATGCTATATTTCAAATGTATATTTTTAGTTACAAGACAAAATTTATCAACACTTTAATTTTTTAAGTTTTGGAATTATCTCTTTAAGTACCTTACAATTTTACTGTAATTTCATAATAAAGATATTGGTAAAATTTTGCCCAATTCCATTAAAATTGTTATATGAAATCTATTTCAACCATATTACACATTATTTCATGCTTGTTTTACATATATATTCATGCTATTGCAAAAATAGTTCATACATAGAAACTTGTCTCTGTGTGTATTTAACTATTACAGGGTTACTTAACATCATTTATACAGCTGTACATTATTTTAACACCATACAGTAAACAAATAGGCATCATGAATAAATTTTAATTCTTTACAATATGTTAACTACGTCATATTAGATTTGTAATGTGCTTGCTTAAAAAAAAATAATGTAATATTGTTTACATCATCTTTCTCAAAGCTTCTAAGTTTTTCTCATTATGTGAATATTGCTAGATATTTCTAGCTATATAAAGGGCTAGATATTTCTAAATTTTTCTGTTGTGTGTTATAAATATATGCAGGTACAGAGTGCAAGTTTAGTAAGTTGGTGAAAGTGAAGTTAGACTGCATGTCACTTCAGCCGTAACAGGCAATTTCAAAAGTGAGTTTCACAGCTTGTATTGTAATAACAGAGATAGAGGAGAATAATTTGTTTGTTTGTTTGTCATGAATTTTGTGCAAAGCTACACAAGGGCTATCTGCGCTAGCCATCCCTAATTTAGCAGTGTATGACTAGAGGGAAGGCAGCTAGTCATCACCACCCACCGCCAACTCTTGGGCTACTCTTTTACCAATGAAAAGTGGGATTAACTGTTACATAATAAAGCCCCCACAGCTGAAAAGGCAAGCATGTTTGGTGTGACAGAGATTCGAACCCGTGACCGTCAGATTGCGAGTCAAGCACCCTAACCACCTGGCCATGCCGGGCTGACCATTAAAGTGGTGAATCAACTCAACTGTAGGTGTAAATGAATAATAGGAGGCCACATCAATCAGTTTGGTGATTGATCAACTCCACAGTATTGTAAATAGTATTAGGAGGCCATGTCAGCTTGTAAAGTGATGGATCAACTCCAGTGGTTGTGAATATTGTTAATATGTAAATAGCATAAGGAGACCACATCATCCAGGAAGGTGATGGATCAACTCCTGTGATAGTGTAAATTGTATCAGGAAGCCACATCCACCAGCAAGAGGACGGATCAACTCCTATAGAGGCAAAGTTGCATCTACATCAGCAGAACACTACCACCCTACTCTCAACTGAATGGTTATAGCGAACTTGTTAGTAGAACCCATTCATGAGGGTGGCTCCATGGTCAACCACCCCAGTGGCTTGGAACTAGAAAGTGGCAAGGACTACTATACTCTGCTCAAACAAGGGGTGGGTGGGTGAAAATGCATTGGAGAGTCCAGAGGTACTTCATCACCAGAGAGTGTGCCATGGGTGACCATGATACCCTATTTTGAAAAGCAGACCATACCAAGTTCTTCACTCAAAGCATATCTGGGATGGGCAGCTACCCCTTTTGCTTTACCCATGCCGTCCATGGGTGGTATGGTCCAGAATGGACATATTTATGAAGCAACCATCGCGAGGTAGATTACCTTCCAGAAATCTTATGAAACACCTTATCTCTACAGTGACCATGAGCAGCCATGAACGAGAACATGCATGTCACTATAGCTTACAGTGTGGAATTTAACTTAAAGAATACCTGTTCAGGCACCACTTGACACTGGGTGGGATCCATGTGAAAAAGAGGGAGTAAAAAAAGGCCCCTGCAAAAGAGGAAAAGGAATAAAACTTACCAGTTAAAGTCACACCGAAGTCTGGAGCACAACAACAGTTGGAAGATGAAACCCCAATGTAGAGGAAAGTGCGATGTGATGAAGATAATGGGAGACAAATATACTGGGCATGGTCCACATGCCAGCTTGGAGGATCTCCTCCAACAGATGATGAAGATGGGAAGTGAGAGAAAACGTGATGGAAGAACAAGGTACAGGAGGAAGAAGGTAAAAAGGTGTAGGCCAAACAAACCAGAAAGCAGACCCAATTTGTTAGGGTAGAAGGGAAAAGGATTGCCCGGGAATGAAAAGACAGTTGCTCATACACCAGAGGGTAGCTGTGTGTGCAATATAACATTGTAGGGCCCTAATGGGACACAGCAGTCTATCAGTAAAGATGGGGGATAGAAGACAGGGAAATAGGAGAAAAGTAGGAACAACCTTCTCGTACTGTCATGGTCTTGAGGAGAAAGGAATGATCAGGATAAAGAAGAAGATAGGTAGGATGATAAATGGTACATGAATTGTCAATGGCAAATAAATCAGATCAGCAACATCTACATGCCAAAAGGAGAAGGCTCTCATATGGGCATGACCAAGAGGGACCAAGTGCGAAAGGGAGAGCCTGAAATTGGTAAACCACTGTGAACAAACCAAAGATAAAGATGGGATTGAAAGGCTATTGGGATGAGAAGATAAGTATTGGAGATATCTATTTTTGACATCCACAATCCCAGGGAAAAAGCTCATCTAAGGGTCAGAAAGGACTCCGTAGTGAACTTTGGGTGTGTGATGAAGCAGTTGATGTGTGAAAAATTGAGGACTAGTCGCCAATCCCTGTTTTTCTTTGAGACCATGAAAAGAAGAGAGTAAAACACTTTCAAGGGATGGTTAACTGGTTTGATAGCCCACTGCAAAAGCAAAACCTAAACCGCCTCTGACGCTTGAGGAAAAGGGTTGAGAAGAAATGGGAGGCAGGGAAAGAAATGTGAGAACAAGTCCTTCTGAAAGAACCTTTGTCATCCATTGATCCTCAACAATAGTGAGCCAGCAAGAAAGAAAATACAAAAACAAGCTCACACTGGGTAGTTAGCAGTACTGTAGATGACAGACGATCATTGGCGATGATCTTGACAAAAAGATTTACCCGGATTTGAAGGAAAGAGTAAAGGATGGGAGGAAGAAGGACAGGAAATGGGAATACATGGCCTGAAAGGCTCTGGTCATGATAAACTGGACACAAAAAGTGAAAGGGTGTACTGTTGTCGGTTGGATGTCACCCGCAACTCAATATCATCAGGAGCAGTGTCAAAGGCAAAATGTTGAAGAAAAGAAGCAAGACATAAATCCCTGAGATAAGTGGAGAGTAAATTAACACAAGCAAGAATGAAGCCCCTACAGATAAGGTACCAACAAAGAAACCACATGTGTAACAACAGAGCCAATAAAGAAATATAGGCCAAAGTGGAAGTGAGAAGGTGAAGAGTGTTGGCAGAAAATCCCTCGGGATTTCTATGGAGAGCCTCTGAGAGGAAATGTATAGAAAGGTAGTAAAGGTAAGATGAATGCAAAAATATTGCGTATGTGTGAGACTAGCATGAGATTCAGGAGCCCCCCCAAAGAGATAATAATGAACACAACAACTGGTGATCCAAAAACAGATATTCTGTCAATGGTAAGAATGGGCATATTAATGAGAGGCTGTTGGGAGGCACGGCATACTGATCCCTTCACCAAAAATGGTTGACAAGAATGCTCATGCAACAAAGAATGACGAGGGGAATAAGAAACAGAAGAAAGGGACAAAACATCACAAACCTGAGATATAAAATCCGTGAAAGCCGACGAAGGTCTCTGTGAATCTTCAGATTGGAACTAGGAAGGAATGGCAAACATGGCAGGAGGAAAACGACGATCAAAACTATCGTCAAGCTGAATAATGTCAGCAGAATCTGAAGAAGCTCAGGTGACGTTAGAGGAAAACAGGTAACCCAAGTAGCATTAAATTTCCCTATGAACAAAATCAGAAAGATCCACAGTCAGGTTGCTTGTACCTGAGGCAGAAGATTGATCTTTGATTTGATCCCTAATGTGGTAACATTGACTTTGGAATTCATAATTCCAGAAACTGCATAAAATTGTCTATTGCAGAAAAGCAACAATAATAAACTGGGAGAAATGTGTTAATGTATAACCACAAAAAAATAGAACCACTTGGAATTAAAATATGCCACACAGGAAGCACTAAAGAAAACATCTGTAATCGAAAGCTGTCAAATGAGAAGTGAAGATTTGGAACAGGAGCGTAGAGGGAGTCACATGCGAAACGTGAGCAAACTATGCTACTGTTGGTTAATAGATGACACATAATGATTTGCATGAGAAAGATGTTGGAATGTGCTAATTCCAACAAGGGGGGGAGGTGGAAGGCTTGTGGCATACATAAGAAAATGCTCACATATAGAGGACAGCACCAAACGAGAATAGCTAATCTTATGAAAGGAGGTAAGTACTGTATCAGAAATTCACTAAATTTTCCTCCTTGGGGTAAAAACAAGTACTCCGTATCTTCATATAGAAGATGATAAAATTACAATCTGAGTCTGAAACATATACTAATAATTACTTATTTGAAAAATATCTTATCTTTAAGACCATGTATAAAAGTAAGTAACATCATATACTAGTTACCTCTTTGTTTTGGAAGGTCTGTTAACTTCTGTTTTGGTGTACATGTATCACTAAATGTAAGCAGCTGGATTGATCCTGAACACCTAGAATATGATAAAATCCTGTCATTAATAAGTTACATAGTTAATCAATTAAATTAGCTCTATTGTCAATTTTTAAAAGCTTTTCTTTTAGAAGTATTGAGTATTTTACTTTATATATATACTAGGGGTAATATGAGACCACAATAAAAAAAAATGTGCTATATACTTGAGAACTAACTCCTATCACATTATGGTATGATATTTTTTACTCAGTTTTTACTATTAATATAACTTTTAAACACTTTTAACTATAGAATTACTGATGGAATCCAAAATTATCAGCTTTTCAAAAATTCTCAACTATTCATACACCAATTTATTTTTTAGCCCGTGACTACTGACTACATACAAGTAACATGAATTTTTTTGTACAATCATCAATATTGCATTTAATCCTACTTCTAACATACTTACCTCCGCTGACAATAATAGCTATTTCTCGATCTTCATGTTTGCCATCTAACGTTGTGTTCACTTGCTCCAGACTTTATATACCCCCACTTGACTGCCCTCGGCAATATCTAATTTCCAAAACTTTACGTGGGCCCTCACACGCCCTCTATGCAGGTACTGTATATAAGCACTGTATGTAGGCAATAAAATCACTTTTTCGAGACCTACTACATTCCAGTTACTAACACCGGCTCTTAATGGGGAGGACAGAAGGGAGAGTGTCAGTGGGGGTAAGCATGTTTGGAAATACATTTTTAGTTTAGGAAAATGATAACTTCCAAAACATACATACCTCTGCTGACACTAATAGCTAGAATCACACATTGAGAAGGCAGAGAGGCCGGTGAGGACAGAGGTCATACACAAGGAATCTGCAGGCAACAAATATGTACCATGAGAGTGGTATCAAAGTGGGAAACACCACACTACATCCAGAACAAGTATGCTCTTCACCCAGAACTACAGAAAATTGAAAAGGGTGGACTACAATACAAGTATGATGCTCCAGCCCTGACCAAACAACCAAGATTCCACAACTCAGAATTTATCCCATCTGAATTTACAAACAGTTGTCTTTACTCCCCCACCAAGTACACAAGGAGAAATCTGCTAACCCATACAATTATATTGAGGATGTGGAACACTGTCCCACCGAGGACCAAAGATGGGACCACGTTGCATCTGAATTTATGAGGAGATAGTGGACCCCTGCATGAACAACAGTGTTCATAAGAGGGTCCAAGCACCACCCCCCATCAGATAGCTAAGCGTCAAATCTGGACTGGTTTTACGAGTAGGCTCCTGTATAGGTTGGTCCCCAACTTTGCCCTCTTCTCCAAGAGCAGAGAAAACTCAACACTCCAAAGGTAAATCCTCAGTCCATCATCCTGGGAACTGGGTGTGGTAAGGACTCTCAAGCTCATCCACTAGTAGAAGGGGGGAACATAAGTACTGGAGAGACCTGAGGAATAGGTCTCCAGAGACATTGCAACAAGTGAACCACATTCTCTAATTTTCAAAAGCAAATTGATCTCGACTGATTCAGCTCTAAGATCAGCAGGAACTGGCAAAATCCCCTTTAGCTTTACTCATGATAGTCCATGAGTAGCAGTCCATTAGAAATATTGTAATATGATATCACCATCCAGATGGTCTTATGGAACACCTCATCTCGACAGAGCCCATTGCAACCAGGAACTGATATAGAGGTTGCTAGTGCAGGATTTAAATACAAGCATACCCGACTGGGCAACACTCACCACTGAGTGGGATCCAAAAAATCAATAGGGACCCTAGAAGAGAAAGAAACAATAACTGTAAGTCAGATAACACTACCCTGATAAAATCTAGTAGAGGTAGTCAACTCAGCCACAGGGGGGAAGACAAGGTCTCTTCGAGGAGGAAACTGTCAGATCATGAAGGTAGAGATATGAAAGTGTCAGGAAAAGTCTTCCTACCAGCCCACAAAGTATCTCCCGAGACGAAGGATGGAACGATTAAGAGAACCAATGGAAAGATGAGTGAAAGGAGGGGCCCTTGAGACACTAGGGGATAAACATGCAGAAGTACAAGTGGAAGTAGAATAGGGTCGAGCAGACAAAGACGATAAAGAAGACTGCAAACGTGCTGTATCAACTCTGGCTTCTAAAGCTTCTGGAATTCCAGGAAATAAATAAGGCCGAAGAAAAGGCACTTCCAGTAAATATCAAAGGGCACAAGAAGGTAAGTGAATACTCTCCAAAAAACATCACAACTCAACAAGTCCCAGCAACAGACCAACCACGACACTAAGGCAAGTCTTGAAGAGGACAAATGTGTTAAAATAATGACCAGTAAATGGCCCAGTTCTTCGTCAAATCGTTAAGGCCTAGATTTGACTTCAAACAAAAGTTGAAAGAAATAGAAGTATCTTAAAACAGTAGAAAGAGTCAAATGAATCTGCAAAAATTTCAACCTGTATGCCGAATGACAGGTACGTACATGGTACCCCATCGATCCAACAATACTCCAGAACATGTTGTTCAGATAAATGTGCGGGGGGGGGGGGGGAGTGGAAGAGGTGGGCACTCCTGAAGGTACCACAGAAGCAGACACTAGGGTTGAGACAGCCAATCCGATGCTACCAAAAGAACACAAGGGGTTGAACAAATCATAGCTAGGACTCTGGGTAACAGATGGCTCCATGGGAAGGCATATAGGTGCAATCCCATCCAGTCCTGACTGAATGCATCTATTGCTAATGCCCGAGGGTGAGATATTGGAAACCAAAATGCTGGTAGTGGAGTGTTCCAATGAGTGGCAAATGCATGTATCATCAATGTCCAGAACCGACAGTAAATCCAATGGAAAAACTCTCCAAGAAGCATCCACGCTGTCTGGAGAATCTGGTTAGGTCAAGACAATTGATCCGCCACCAAATTCATCACCCCTAGAACAGGGCAAACTAGTAGGCAACAAAGAATGCTCAAAGTATCTCCAACAGCCGTACTACAGATAAATGCTTTAGTGAATGCTTTGTTGAGAAAAAGTTACAATATTATCTGAAAGAGTGCTTATATACATTACCAGCATAGAGCACTGACATAGGTGGAGAGCTTCATGAGACAGACATTGCCAAGGGCAACTTAGTTGAGAATAATGACTGGAGTAAGCAAGAAAAATTAAGACCAATGCTTAGACTGGCAAAGGAAAGAAACCCTAGCAGTCAAGTAATTGGTGTAGTGTGAGAAGAGATAAGTTTGTTTGGAAAAGTACATACCTTTTAATTTTTGCCAAATAATCTTAAAAGATCTTTTGGTTATATTCTTAATTTCAAGTCTTCACATTTTTATATATAGTACATTTTTAAAGTTTTAGTTACCTTTCCTGTCCTTTAGCATTATACTTTATTGTGACACACATCAATGGGCATCATCAGGCAATATTATAGTATCGTCGGCAGAGACAATTTAGCCTTCAGCAGAATGTTGTTGCTTTGACATACTCAGTTTGGGTTATATTCTAAACAAATATTAAATCTTTCTAATATGCATTTAAAACATAACTAACTAAAATATAAAATTAAAACTTAAATACAATTTAATTATCTATCAAACTAACATTTTTCTAGGTGAAAACAATGCCAAGTGCTAGCAAAGACAATCTGCAAAAATACTAAGAACAGTCTGAAGAAACTGTATGGAATTCTGCATACCAATTTCATAACAACCAATGGGAAATTGTAGTTCAAAATTAGACTCTTTCTATTAGTTAGAAATATCTACAGAAATAGATAGTGTTGAATGTGAAATCTTATGACTATGTGTAGAAAGTAGGCATAGCTTCTGTCAAGAGTTTTCAAGTGATTTACTTTTCCTTTCTCAGAACTTGCCCTACGGAATTTGAAGGGAGGAGAAAGGATGTGTAAACAGAACAATTAACCTAGTTTCTGTCTATACATTAAGGTCTAGTGTGTGTGTGTGAATAATTAATTAAGTTATAAAGACTGAAATCTAAAACTTGTAAATGCTTGTGTGTTGCAGGACAACAAAACCAATGTTGCATAATTAAATTTTGAATTTAATTTAGTAAAACCTTGTCACATGTGCAGAAAATGGATCTGTAAACTTGGGCTTAAAACGAAAATTTATGAAGCACATATACAAGTCACTTACCATCTAATGGATTACTTTTTTTTAATTTGAATTGCCTTACCCATACAATAAAGGATTCTTAACCTTACCTATCAGTTAAATATATAAACCAATAAATACAGTTTCAATTCACATACCTAAAATGTGTAACAAGAGAATCCAGAAAAATATTTTCACTGCTGCTTGGTTTTTGGGGTAAATACTGGTTCTCTGGGGCAAGAATCAGAGGAGCTCCTTTCCCCATCTTAGTCGACAAGTATAACCTAAAGTTTCTATTCTTCGTGTATACAGCTAATTAAGTAAAATATCACAAACGTGACCAAAAAATACAAGATACTCTAAACTAGGTTGAAAAACCCACTGTAAACTGTTTAGTGTTTAAAATTATTGAGACTAACTTTAGCTGACAAATTATATATTTCACAAACAATTTAATGATCTGCTTGTAATAAATACAACAAAAATTATTATGAAATAAATATAGCTGTGCTTTGAAAAGAGTTCACTTAAATGGAAACATACTTTCAATTTTACAACAGAAATAAAGCAAAGACAAACCTTCATCACAGAACAAATGCAGGTTTCCATCTTTTCCAAAGATATTCAGTTCTTTAAGTTCAGAAGGATCAGGCCAGCTACATGTTAAGTTGTCAGTTTCTACTTCACCTCTCATTGAAGTCAAAACTGATGAGCCACATCCAGTTAAATAAAAGGTCTCTATGTTGTGTCTAATCTTCTCACATATATAATGCACAAAGTTTCCTATGTGTGTGTATATGTAGAAAAAAAAATAGTTTTCCTGAAACAGTTATTATTAATAGTTCAGTTAATTCTCACCATCAAACATATTTTTATCATTCAATTATTCAAGAATAGTGCAGCAGTAAACTACATCAAAATACCTACATTAACATTATTTAACAGTCATGTTTTCCATATTTAACTCATCTAGAAGCTGAAATTATAAGATAGTTAGATAAATCAACTTTGGGAATATGTGAAGTATTGACCAGGATATACAAGTTTTTCAACAGTAGCTCCAGTAATTACTATATTTGCCACTTTCTTAAAGATGGAAAAGCCTTTAAACTCCAGTTTACGTTACATTTGTTACTTTCTTGACCTTTTACTGGTTGACGCAAGAGGGAAATAGAATTTTTGTACGTTATTTTCAGAGAAGATATCTTATTAACCCAGGATGTTTTTTTCAGTATTGAAAGGAAACGAGTTTTTCCTTTTGAAGTCACATACATGTTACCATGTGGTAACATTAGGGTACCAGGCCATAAAGGTTATTGAAATTGTGGAATGGAAACGACACTACTTTCATTATTTTATTTTCATAAGAAGACATTACATAAAACTAAAAACTGATTACTTGTTAGAATACACAAGCCTTACAAAAAATGAATTAATTTTCAATAATAGTGTCAAATACTGAACTTGGAAACATTATTCTTTTGAATGATAAATATTGAAATACCAAGTTCCTTGACTGTAATGAACACTTATTTCACATTTTTGCACATTGTGTTTTTCTGACATAATACACATCTGCCTAGAATACAAGGTGTATTAGTTCAAGGTTTTGTTCATCAAATTACACATCTGTGGGCAGATCTGCATGTCTACCACCAGTAGCTAGTTTTCTATCACTTCAAGCCTTCATCTGAATTAAAGCAATATTTCTTCTAAATTAAAGTTGGTCAGCTTCCTTTTTCTTTGAATGTAAGTTAAAATACCATATTCATGCTGCCATTAGAGATAAATTTATCACCAATGGCCACTACCATTATTTTCCACAGATCATTGGTCTGTATGTAGCTAGAAGGCAATCCATAAACTCTACCCCTCCTATTCTCTTGTTATCAAAATGAATCAAATTAAGCTGTTATTTCTGACTCACTTCCTTCTTTAACATGAATGAATAACGGGCAATATTTACAATGGAATTGTCATTCAATACACACACGTTTTCCATTGCAATGAAAGTCAAAACTGCCATGAACTTTCTATAGTTTCTTGTCAGAGGTCATAGCCTTTGTTTCTCCTTCTGGTCTATTTTTACAAATAGTTCCAATTGCTTTATAGCCCTTATCACCCAAAGCATATCAGTTTGCCTTTGATGAACATTTTGCCACTGTGTTTTCCAATGATTCATCTGTGGTGAGTTATTCTTTTATATATACCCATAAAGATGATGCAATATTTTATCACACCAAAACATGATGCAATATCACATGATACACCTGTGTCTAATGTACCCTATGGGAACATCATATTTCAAATGCAACAAAATAATGAACTTATCTGAATAATTTTTTTTTATATATTGAGGGCACAAAGGTACCTGTTATGTTTTTCAAATTATTTATTTGGATAAGTTTTAACATATATATTTCTATATGATGAGCAAAACAAAAATAACTTTTTAAACAACTAAAAAAACATTATCTTTAAGTTAACTAAATCTGACCAAAACTAATTTTCAGATCTTTTAACCTTTTTATATAGAAATGCACGTGATAAGTTTTATAAAATATAGAAAGTTTTACATTACTCTTAAATTTTACAGTACTCCCATATGGGAATACTAGGCAGTAAAGGTTAAAATTGTCAAGCTTTTAAACTTCAGTTTTGGTTACATTTGTCACTTTTTTAAAGGTGGACAAGTCTTTAAACTTCATTTTAGGTGAAGACTAAGTTTTCTAAATATAAATACTGTCAAAGATAAACTTTAATTCATATAAACCCAACTTACCTACATGAACATTGTCAACAAATGCTATATTTTTCAATTGTAAGATTAAGTGGCAGCTGAACTTTTCTTTGGTACTGAAAAAACACACAAAGAAAACTAAGAGCAATCAACCATGATATAAACTGCAGCAGTTTCACCATCAGTTAAAATAAACATTTCCATTCTTCAAATAAAATCTAAGATATACAAACATAACCTAATAGAATAAATTATGCTTATTAGTAATATTTTATGATACCAACAAGCTATCTAAATGAAAAGAATCTAATTAATAAATGCCAATGACGAGAAGAAAGATCTACTGCAAAGGCCACGGTAGATACAGTGTTTGAGTGACATCTAAGCTGTGGTCGAGTATGGTAAATACCAGAATTTCAAGTAATGATTGAGAGTAAAACCTACCATGATAAATAAGCTGTGGGTGAGTGTTTGAACTGGTGATTAATGCATTATGGTTATAATGTCAAAACTACTGATCTGTAGTTGAGTATAGAAATTATCATATCAAAGTTGAGTGAAGAAGCTAACATAATAACCAACAAACAGTAAAGACACTATCATAATATTTCAGCTGTGTTTGAATGTAAAAACTACTGTGATACTGGAGCTCTTAGTGAGTGTAGTAGCTATTATAATGTAAAACATATGGTTAAATGTACAAACTACCAGGATTTCAGATAAGTGTAAAAAAGGCCATGCTTTCTACATTGAGGTTCAGTGTAGAAACTACCATATACATGAGCTATGGTTCTATGTAGAAATTAACACAGAAACTACCATAATATCTAAGATGCAACTGAGTGAAGATCTACTATTACACATAAGATCAGTTGTGTGTATAATCTACCATGATACATGAGATATGGTTGAGTGCATTGACTACAGAAACCATAATGATATCTAAGCTGTATTTGAATAAAAACTTAAAAAGATGTTGTGTGACCATACGATGGATTTACTACCTTCTATAGTAGTATAGAATTGTTCCAAATAATGAATTATTTAATTTCACCATTCTGGCAACATTAGGTCCACAATTACTAGCATTATCTTTTTTTTTTATGTCTGTTTTGCCTTTTGTTCTCTAATAGGCGACATTTCCTCTGCTTGAAGGGATATTTCAGTATTTTAGGTAAAATCCAGGTTAGCACTGAAATATTCTTTACTGGGAACATGTGACAATGACTGAAGCTGAGTGTAGAAACTACAATAATACAGGAGTCATTCTAGGAGAGTGTAGGATGTCATAAATATGAAGTATGATTGAGTGCAAAATGATATCTGAGGTATGATATATTATGGGAAGTACCACGATAAATGAGATGTGACTGAGTGTAGAAAACACTATGACATCTGAGCTTTGGATAAGCATAGTTACTATAAGGGTTTCACAGCTGTGGATGAGTACACAAACCATCATAATATCTAAGCTGTGTTTCAGCACAGAAGTTAAAAAGATATTTGAGTTGTGGTTGAGTGTAGAAGCTAAAAAATATCTGAGGTGTGATGAATGGAATAAGTGCCATGATACTTATCTATAATTGAGTGAAGACACTAAATTGGTTTTTGAATTTGGGCTCAATGTTTGTTTTTAATTATGCACAAGGCTACACAAGGGCTATCTGTGCTCTGCCCACCACAGGTATCGAAACCCGGTTTCTAGCGTTCTAAGTCCGCAGACATACCGCTGTGCCACTGGGGGGCTTGGCTCAATGTAAAAACTACCATAATCTGTGACTGAGTGTAGGTAATTTCTACCCAGTGTTTATTATGGTTATCATCTTGGGTTGCAGGATAGTAGATGTAAGTTTCTTTCCACACATGTGGCTAAAAAGTACAGCCTCATCCATCTTGGCAATGTCAAAGTATTAATCACAAACTATACATCTGATAAATCATCCACAATTTAGTTTTGAACTATGGACTTACAAATCATTCCCAATAGAAATTACATTCATTTTGGTAACAACTTGCTGCAACGTTTTTTCACTTGAATGCACCCAAAAACATGCAACATTTCCCTTCCCATTACTACCATTGTTTATGCTCCCATGTCAACTTGTAATATTCTCACTACTACTGATTATGAATTGTAGGTAAAAAGTAAATTAAAAAACATTTAGTATCATAGCTTTGACTTTTATATAAAAAAACTGCTTAATTATGCCAATAATTAATAGTTTTAGTGTAGCTTGTATAAAATACCACAAACAGTTTTCCATATAAGAAATTAAAATTATTACATTCTAAACTACAGAAATTTGAATTTATGACTTAAAACTAGTGTTATTGTAAGATTTGCATCTTTACAATGTTAACTGTATGGTACACTTAAATTGAACATTAATGTGCATTTTACCTAATCTCTTTCATCTTTTAAATATAATTTTTATTGATATTTTAAAAGATGAATTTTCTGATAGCCAATATTACCAGTATCATCATATATTGGCTGGTAACAGATATATGGTATGAACAAGTCTTTAATTTTCAACTATAAAAAAATTTATTCATCTCTTAAAACACATTATCTATGTTTTACATTTTATATTTGCAACTTTCATTGGTGTAGAAAACATACAATTATTTAAAACGTATAATAAGAGAAAGTTATGTAAAACATTTTTTACTTTTCAAAAACTTTTATATGTGCATACAAATCTTATTAACAGGATATTTCAAACGTGTTTGAATGTAATACAAGAATTTCAGCAATGTGGATAAGCATAGACAATACCTAAATTTAATTGTTGTTAAATGTAAACACTGCTGTGATATATAAAATGGGTTTAGGTGTAGAAACTACCATGATATATGAGGTTTGGTTGAACATATAAACTGTCACCCATCTAAGCTGTGGTTGAATATAGGGACAATCATGATTTCTGAGCTGTGGTTGTGCGTAAAAGTAATCATGATATCTCAGCTTTCAATGAGTGTAGAAATTATTATGATATACGAGGTATGATTGAGTGCAAATACTAATATGGTATCTGATCTGTGGTTGGGAGTAAAAACTGTCAAAGTGGCTGAGATTATGTTGAGTATAGTAATTACAGTTTTATCTCAGCTTGGTGGAGTGTAGATACTACCATTATATCTAAGTTGTGGTTGAGTATGAAAATTACCAGAATATCTTAAGCAGGGCTTGAAAGTAGGAAGTATCATGATTTCACAGCTGTGAATATGTGTACAAGATGCTGTGCTATCTAAGATGAAGTTATACGTAGAAGCTACTTTGACATTTATGTTGTGGTTGAGTATAGATATTATGAATATATTAGATTACAAAAGCTACCATCATGTCTAAGCTGAAATTGAACATAGAAGCTACCATGATATTTAAGCTGTAGTTGAGTAAATTAACTAGCAAAACATTTGAAACATGGTTGAGTTTTGTATAATTACCAAGACTCCTGATATGGAGTTGGATGAAGAAAGTACTATCATATCTGGGCTGTGATTGAATAAAAAACTGCTCTGATTTATAAGTTATGGTCTAGAGTAGAAATTATGATTTATGAGTGTGATTACAGAAAAGTTGACAACTTAAGTCAACCAGAAAACATGAAAAGTCGAAGCAAACTTCCAGATTTATATTCATACTTTGAGTAACTGTTTTTATCACTTGCAGAAATAACCATAAAAACATCTGGAAAATGACAAAGGTAATCTTACCCACTACAATTCTTTCAAAAATAAGAACTGTAAAATATCTCAAACAGCCTGTAAGATCGAAGTAATGATCTGTTTGGGTTATAGATAGAGTACCATTAGTTTCTTGTAGCTCCTTTAAGGCTCACACAAGTAACATTACAAAATGTTACAAATTCCATCAAACAAGATTCATGCATGATAATGTAGTGTTGTCTAAATGTTAAACATGACATTATTAGATATCATGTTGGCCTTTTGTCAGCAAAAGTAAAAAATAATGTAGAAGGCACATGACCAAATGCATATCTATATTTGTCCATGGATAATACAACGTACAGCTGAAAAAATGTGCTTGCCTCTGATAAATGCTGGCCATTCTCTTTTTTGAAAATTTCAATAATTCATAAGACAAGAATATCAACATTAGTTTTGCATGCTGAACAAGTCTAGTGTCATTTGGGGTTGCACTGAATATAGCAAGTGTAGTGTACCTAAAATATCTTGCCTTATTGTACCTACCAAGATATCTGAAAATATTACAGCATCAAAAGTATTTGGAAATTTTTGAGTATAGTAACAATTGGTATCTCAAATATAGCTGAGAATAGCAAGTGTAAAGGTTAATGAGGATTTCTAGAACAACTACAACAATGCATATTGTTCTGTACAACATATAAATTGCAGTGATATCTAAAATTGTTTGATTAGAGCAGTCTTTAGGGTATGAGATTTTGTTAAATGAAATAAATACACTTAATTTTTAAGGTTTGGATGAATATAGAACCTATTAAAGATCTTAAGGGCAGTAAATATAATCTCTTTTGTACTTGTCACAAATTTTCTTATATATTTCTGCCTCCAGAAATATTCCACATTAACACATACACAACAGCAGAGTACCTGTCAAACCTGGTTAAGTGTGTCCAAATACATGTTTATACCTTATTGTTCTATCACACTTAACTTGCAACTAAGTCAAACAATAGTTTGTTTTAAAATATAGTATTACTTCTAGAACAAAAATTAAATGAATTTTGAGTGTATATAAAATACTCTTGATTATTGTGAATACAGATCTATTGTAATAGTCTAAAATGAACACACCGCTACAATTAGGGTTCAACAAGAGAATCACAATTTATTCACAATAACAACACTTAGAAATAAATTCAAAATAATTCAAATTCACAGTTAACAAATAAGTGCCTGGCCAGGACTTCACACCAATATTAATAAACAGTTCATCATAAATATTAATAAGTCAATAATAGTGGAATCAGGAACAAAAAAAAAAAAGCCAGAAAGAAAAAAACCTAATTCCAAAAACAAAATACAATATTTAAACAATACCTTTCAATATCAATACTGAGTGATAAACAGCAGTAATTATATCCTCAATAACTATCTCGCGACTCTC